TACGGGAAGCATGACACTTGCCTTGAAAATACACTTGCCAGACAAGAACATTATTTTTCTTAGATTGTACGTGTGTTGAGGCGGCTTAGGGCTGGGAGGCAGGTAAAGATTAATGGAGAAGACAAAGCCCACACAGGCTGCCTGCAGCTGTTGCTGCCACTGAGGGCTGCCTTCAGAAAATGCGAGAAAGACTTTTGGAATTGTCACAGAGGCTCTGAAAATTAACCTGTTTGGAGTCCCAGAGCCCCAGGCAGTGGAAGTGTTTTATTTCAGAGAAATTTGTATGTGTTCTGAGGTCAGTTTCATCAGTCCTGATCTCCAGATCTTTGAAAGAAGCAGCTGCATCTTGGAGTTACTAGGAAATGAATTCCCAACAAGTCCTGAGTGTCGGGAGCATCCCTGGAATGATGGTACCCTCCCCCAAAGCCTGTTAACATGTTCACTCACACACTGAGACATCCTAGAAGAAGGTCACCTTTTGGTTCTCTCCTCTTCTAGGCCAAGGCTGCAGGTGATGATGAGGCCATGTTCATAGATGAAAACTTCTGTACCGCCCTGGAATATGGGCTGCCCCCCACGGCTGGCTGGGGCATGGGCATTGACCGAGTCGCCATGTTTCTCACAGACTCCAACAACATCAAGGTACATAGCAGCCCTCCACAGCGCACACTGCCCTAAAGAAGCTCATTGCGTTGGAGGCGGGACATGGTGGGCCTGGAGGGTAAAATTAAGGAAGGGCTTTGGGCAGGGAAGAGGAGCAGGCAGAGGAGTTCTATGCCACTCACGGGAGGGCCAGAGCCTCTGACATTAAAGGATTCGGGATTTTTCCTACCAGAGGCAGAAGGAATACTAATTGTTTGCATTTATGGCGGATCCAGGGAAGTCTCCATGCATTATTTCAGCTAATTAAGTCAGCCTATGAGGTGTAGAAACTGTTGCCCGTTTTTATAGATGAGGAAATCAAATTTTAGTAGAAATGTGTTTATTCATCCTTTTGACATAGTACCCTAGGCAGTGATATGTATTTGTTCTTTGTCTTCTGACTGAGAGGATCTGAGTTGAAATAAAAGAACACGTGTCTTTTCAGCTGGAATATACTCATCTCTGGATTTTGGTGGTAACAATAACAGAAGCCAAAGGAATGGGTAGATGACTGTGAAAAAATGTTCAGGGTGCTTCTTAGCTTCAAGGTACATTTCTGTCTTCCACAGGAAGTACTTCTGTTTCCTGCTATGAAACCTGAAGACAAGAAGGAGAATGTAGCACCCACTGAGACGCTGGAAAGTACAGCAGTTGGCACTTCTGTCTAGAAAATAATTGCAAGTTGTATAACTCAGGCGTCTGCATTTCTATAAGAGGTCAAGGGAATTCTTGTGTGTGGCTTTCCACTTGGCTGCTGCAGTTCGGTTTAGCCATCAGAAGACAGACAAGGAATTTAACATGCCCTTTTAATCCTTGTTACCAAATAAACCATTTGTCCTCTCCTCTCTTTACCTTTAGAATGTCACCTTTTTTTCCCAGACTGCTGACCTAATGAATGTTTAGGATTCTACCATCTTATTCATTTAACAAATTGCTATGAATGTCTGCCCTGTGCCAGGCCTGCATTCTAAGGGTTTGGGGATACAACAGTGAACAAAAGCCAAGTTCCTGCTTTCATGGAACTTGCATTCTTTCTTTGGCATAGGGAGGAGGAGAAGTAGACAAACAAAAAGTAAATACATGTTCTTTTTAGTGGTGATACATACTAAGAAAAATGGAGCAGGGTAAGGGGACAAAGGTGCTATTTTAGAGGAGGAGGGGACAGTGCTACTTTAAATATGGTGGTCAGGAAGCTCGCTGCTAGGCATTTCAGTAGAGGTCTGCAGATTGAGCTGGAGAGATCTGTGGGAAAAGGCCATTCAGACTAAAGGACCACATTTTTGAGGAATGGCGAGGGTCTGGTGTGATGGGACAGGGATGAGTGAAGGTCACTGAGGGGCCAGATCACACAGGCCCCTAGAAGCCATGCAGAAGAGCATGTGTTTTCTGAGGAAGGTGAGATGCCATGGAAGGGTTTTGAGCAGGAGTGTGTTTTTCTGGGATTATTCTAGTCTCTGGTGGACAAGAGGGAAAGAAGAAAGACCAGCTGAGCAGTTCTCATGGGCTGAGGAAACAATGGGTGGTAGCAGGGGAAATGGTTACCAGTGATTGGACTTTGCCTATGTTTCTGAGGGCAGAAGAATTTGGTGATGGAATGTGGGGTGTGAGAAAAGCCAAAAATGATTTCAAGGTTTTGGGCCTAAACAACTGGAAAAAAGTTGCCCTCTGCTGAGATGGGAAGAACAGGAAGTGCATATTTTAGAGGGAAGGTTGGAAGTTTGGCTTTGGACATGTTAAATTTGACATGCCTACTAGCCAGATGAAAATAGTGAGCAGAATGTTGAATAATCGATCTGAAGTTTTCTCATTATTTTCAGCTCCATTCAGTAGGGCTAAGAATGTGACAAGCGTGTGGCTGAGGGTGTGCCGTGAAAGTGGAGCCCCTGTTTCGTGACACACACAGACAGCTGGGAAGACCTTTTTTCAGGTGACTCAGTTGACAGAGGACTTAACCTTCTGCACCTCAGCAAAACCTCTGCAAGCATCCCAGTTTGGGAGCTACGAGTCTTCTTTTACAGAGTAGCTTTCTGTTTCTGTAGCTGGTAAGACAAACTAAGCATTCAGAATTACCTAACAGAACTACCTCAGGGAGTGTGGGACATCCCCACCCTTTCTTGGCATTTAAGCAGTAGATGACCAGGCAGCATTTCAGAAGAAACACTTTCAGATGGCACATCCTCAGAAAGTGAGTGGTGACTAAAATGGGAAATAATCATCTCACCAAGGGAGGTGGTGGAACATCAAGGCCAGGTAAGGGGCTATAGGTTTCAGGCAGTACTATCAGTGCAGACCACTAAAAAAGGCTGCAAGGACTGATGATGTCATGAGTGACTTTACAGAGTGGTTTAATGGAAGGCGGTCTGACCTTAAGGAGGCTGGGGATAGAAAGGAACTGAGGCAGCAGTAGACAACTTGTATGTGGGGGTTGGCAGGAAAAATGACAGATAGTGTGAAAACTAAAAGGGACAGAAGGGTCATAAAGTCCTCTCATTTCTTCAAACAGCTGCAGGCTCACAATTTGCTATTACGCTGGGGTGAGCAGAAACAGGCATGGTCCCAAACTTCATCAGTTTTCTAGACTTGTAAGGAGAATAGATATGTAATAAATCATTCTCCAGAATTGTATAAAATGGCAGCTTGGGTAAATGGTTTGAAGGAGAGGTCCATGGGGTATGGAGAAACTCTAATGGACCTAGTTAGAGATTTCCCTGAGGACATTAAATCTGAAGGGAAGAGGGCTTTGCATGGTATGGCAACAAGTGCAAAGGCCCCGTGGTAGGAACCAGCATGGAGAAGACAGAGTATAGAAGCCCAAAGAAATATGGCACCAGGTGAGGCAGGAAGGGGCTGGCCATGAGGTCACTGGAGGTCTGGAGTTCAAGACCAGACTGGCCAACATGGTGAAACTCCATCTCTACCAAAAACACAAAAATTAGCTGGGTGTTGTAGCATGCACCTGTAAGCCTACTTACTCTGGAGGCTGAGATAGGGGAGTTGCTTGAACCTGGGAGGTGGAGGTTACAGTGAGCTGAGATTTCCCCACTGCATTCCAGCCTGGGCAACAGAGTAAGACTACATCTTAAAAAAAAAGAAAGAAGTTCTGGAAAGTCATTCACTGAAGTACTATTTAAGCAGTAGGGTGACATCAGATTTGTGGTTTCGAAAGATAAGTCTTGCTGCTCTGTGGAAAATGAATTGCAGTTAAGCAAGAAAAGGTGGAAAGTTCAGAGATCGATAGTGGCTTTTACTAGGGTATTGGCATATAGGGAAGTGGAGAAAAATGGATTTAAGACATAAGAAGAAAGATCAGCAGGACTTGGTAATGAATTGCACTAAGGGGATTAAAGGAAGGGAAATGAAGAAGACTCACTTTTTAGTTTCTGCAACTAGGTAATACTAGTCCCTGAGATAAAGAACCCTAGAAGAAGGTCCTTGATGCCCCTTACCCCTACTGGAATATTTCTATAAAGACAGAAGGGGCAGTCAGTTGCAGATGAAAGACATTGGAGAGGAATGCAGAGTAGTCTGGCCTAGGAGGAGGGCCATGGCCCATTTCCTTTGAACTAGAAAGGTTGGGGTTCAGCAAGTTGCATAAACTGAGGAATAACAAAAATGAATTCTTTAATTTTTAGCAATTGAAACATTCAGTTAGTGGGTGGCAAAGGCCCTGAACTGTCCAGACAACTATATTACATATTCCTGGCAATCGAAAAGTTTTTAGAACTGCTCTGTCCACTGCATTGTAATAGTACTGTACTACAGTAGCCAATTAGCCACATGTGGCTATCCAGCATATGAAATGTGGCTGATCCAAATTGGGCTGTATTCTAAGTGTTACATACCAGATTTCTTAAACTTAGCATGGAAAACAACAGAACTTAAGTATTTTTTAAAATATTGAGACCGGGTGCTGTGGCTCACCCCTGTAATCCCAGCACTTTGGGAGCTTGAGGCAGGTGGATCTCTTGAGGTCAGGAGTTCAAGACCAGTCTGGCTAACATTGTGAAACCCCCGTCTCTACTAAAAATAACAAAAATTAGCCGAGTGTGATGGCACGCACCTGTAATATCAGCTACTCAGGAGGCTGAGGCAGAAGAATTACTTGAGCCTGGGAGGTGGAGGTTGCTGAGATCAGCTTGGGTGACAAAGCGAGAGTCCATCTCAAAAAAAAAAATTTTTTTTATTTTATGTTGAAATAATATTTTGGATGTGCGGGTTAAATAAAATATGTTTTTTTCTATTTTGACTTTTTTAATGCTATTGGAAATTTTTTAATTACATATTTGGTTGAATTATATATCTATTGGACAGTGATGTTATAGATAGAATTCAGCCTAGTGCTGCAAGATACATCATTCTAGTTGAAGGCATATCTAAGCCAGCAGGCGGCTCCCATCATCCGGTTTTACGCATCCCTAAGACGCTGCCTGCGCTGCGGGACTTGAAGCGCTGGAACAGCAGCCTTGGCACCGACCCCCCGGGAAAACTACAAGGCCCGGCGTGCACTGCGCGCCTCTGGGGCGGAAGTCGGAAGGAGTCGGCGCTTTGTGACGTCACGTCCGTGTTGCCGCCGGATTCAGATCGCTTTCTCTGAGGCCTGTGTCCTGGAGGTGGGAGGGAAGCGTCCGCGAGGCCTTGGGCCGCGGGGCCAGTGCATCTGGGCTAACTTTACCGAGTCTGTTGAGGGAAGAGATTGTGAGGACCGTGTCTTCGGGATGCGTGTCACGTGAGAAGGCGCTCCATGCCAGGAACTGTCAGCAACTGGCACTTGGAGAGCTCTTGCTGCGGACGGGCGCGGGGCCTCTTGCCTAGTAGCCCGCAGGACCCAGTGGGTCCGGCGCTCACGCTGTTTCCACTGCACGGCCTCAGTGCCTTCCCTGGCGCCTCCCGTCCTGTAACTGGCCTACTCGAGGTCCCACCCCGCCTTCTGCAGCGGCCGAGAAGGGGGCTCTGCTTCTGGGAGTATTTAGGAAGGGAGCCAGCGTTAGGCAGGAGTCCCTTCCTCCGAGCATCGCTCAAGGCTTTTCTCCTCTGGCAGCCGATTTCCTTTTCTTTGGAAAGGACGTCAGTTTTTTTAGCTTGTTGCAACTGTTCAGAGATGCCGTCTGTGGGCAAATAAATGCCTTTTTAACTGAGCTGTTATTTTCAGCTAAGAAGTTCTTCAGGTTTTTCCGGATGTAGGAGGGGATGTAGACTCGAATTATAATGGATCCCGTGTAGCAAAACATTTATTAATTTCAACAATTGTGCATGCTCATTCAGACTCAACTACCTGAATGAGATGATGTCGTTCTGGGCTACTTCATCTTAGGGAGTCATTGTTTCTTCTGGCAAGTTCTACCTGCCTTAGCTATTGAGGTTTGTGAATTGCACCTCTGGTTTAATTTCAGGTCGATGGCGAGGTGGTCTTTATAAAATATACTGCCTTGTGATGCAGTCCCTTCCAAATGAGGATTCTAGGATCTCCTATGCTTTCTTTTTTTGACAAGAGTTATTCTAGCCCTCTGACTTTAAGGCACAATGTCTGTTTTCTTGCAGATTGTTGCTTGAAATCACTATGCGCTGATTTACCTATTATTCACTACAGTAGCAAGCCTGCGCATTGCGATGCAGAGGGACTCAGCAATACTTTTTTTTGAGACGGAGTCCCACTCTGTCACCCAGGCTGGAGTGCGGTGGCACAATCTTGGCTCACTGCAACCTCCTACTCGCGGATTCAAGCGATTCTATTGCCTCAGCCTCCCAAGCAGCTGGGATTACAGACACGCCACCATGCCAGGCTAAATTTTTGGATTTTTTTAGTAGAGACGGGGTTTTGACATGTTGGCCAGGCTGGTCTTGAACTCCCAACCTCAGGTGATCTGCCCGCCTCGGCTTCTCAAAGTGCTGGGATTACAGGCATGAGCCATGGCATGTGGCCAGCAATACATCTTTCAAAAGCAACATGCACTGCGGCTCAGGAAAGCCTTTTTTGTTTTCCAGTTTTTTGTTTTTCCATTTTTGTATGTGTGAAACAGAGTCTTACTCTGTCACCCAGGCTGGAGTGCAGTGGCACAATCTTGGCTCACTGCAACCTCTGCCTCCCAGGTTCAAGCGATTCTCCTGCCTCAGCCTCCTGAGTAGCTGGGACTGCAGGCATGTGCCACCATGCCCTGCTAATTCTTGCATTTTCAGTAGAAACAGGGTTTCACCACGTTGGGCAGGCTGGTTTTGAACTCCTGAACTCAGGTAATCCACCTGCCTCGGCCTCCCTCTCAAAGTACCGACTTGAGCCGCCACATCCAGCCTTCAGTTTTGTTTTACAATGCTTAGCTATGTCTATCCATACAAGCTCATCTTCTACTAAGAAGCTTTTTGTATAATTGAGTCCAAATGGGGTCAGGATGTACCTAGTGAGCACTGATAGAGCCAAGAGTGAGACATTCCCAGCAAAGCATCCTAGGAATCTGCTTGATTATTTTTTTCTTCATGGCTTCCTATGCCCATTATAGCCCTCCCCCTTCCACCCCCACCACCAACTAGCTCAAGGCAAATTAACTAGGAAAATCATCCAATGTTATTTCTTATAATAGTAATCACAGTTGACCTTAACTATCCTCAACATTATAGCAATTGCTTTTTAAAAGTATCATTTAATCCTCACAATATCCCTAAGTATTATTGAATCTTCACAATAGTCTAAATAAGTTAGATACTGTTATTATCCCTATTTTGACAGATGAGGAAACAGACACAGCAAGGTTAAGTAGTCCATTCAGCATCATTTGTGGCAAAGCCAAAATTAGAACCCAGAAAGGGTGAATCCAAAGCCCACACACACACTTAAGTACAGCTCTGTGAGAACACTTAACTGCTGAGAAATGTCTCAGTGGGGAGTTAATAGAGGGCGGTAGCGAACCACTCTGCTCTAAGGGAAAGAAGAGAAAAATAAAATGCCTGGAAAAAGAGTAAGAACATGTATCCAGAAAGGTAAACCTTATACAGTGAGGGTCTGCCCAAAGCAAGCGAGTCTGCAGCCCTTCATGTGCTGTTTCCAATGAAAATTGGAGTAGTTAGAAATACTTGAGCAGCTGGTGAGTAGAAAATTAATTAAAAAAAAAAAAAAAGTCCGGGCGCGGTGGCTCATGCCTATAATCCCAGCACTTTGGGAGGCCGAGGCGGGTGGATCACAAGGTCAAGAGATCGAGACCATCCTGGTCACCAAGGTGAAACCCCGTCTCTACTAAAAATACAAAAATTAGCTGGGAATGGTGGTGTGCGCGTATAGTCCCAGCTACTCCGGAAGCTGAGGCAGGAGAATTGCTTGAACCCTGGAGGCAGAGGTTGCGGTGAGCCGAGATCATGCCATTGCACTCCAGTCTGGGTAACAACAGCGAAACTCCGTCTCAAAGAAAATTGGAGTAGTGAGGACATTTCCCTCGTGTCCTTTAACGTTGAGTAGAAGATGGATACTCATTAGAAATGTGTCAGATATCTAACATTAAAAAAGAAAAACTTGAAGAAATAGAATAGTTTGGGGAATTGGTAGAATTTGGGGTTCTTTGATCTTTCATTAAAGGTGAAAAAGGGCAGGGACACAGTAGGAGAAAATGATCCATAGAGTTCCAGATAAAGAAGCAACAGTCTAAGTACAGTTGGGCTATATTTGAAAGACTTGAAGCATGGCTGTGAGGCTGTAGCATTGTGCACTGATTCTCCTTTCTGCACTTCTGATGATTGTGGTTTTTGATCAGGGTCTCAGCACCAGCTCAGACCATGTGGACCGCGGATGAGATTGCTCAGCTGTGCTATGAGCACTATGGGAGCAGACTGCCCAAGAAGGGGAAGCCTGAGCCAAACCACGAATGGACATTATTGGCAGCCGTGGTGAAGATACAATCTCCAGCTGACCAGGCCTGCGACACCCATGATAGGCCGGTACAAGGTGAGACTTTTTCTCCTTGGAACGCTCCTCACTGTCGGAGATGGTAAAATTATACATTGCTCAACTGTGCAGCGACAGTTGTGAGTAGGGTGTGAACTACAGTGTCAGGTGTGTGTGCTTGTCCTCCACTAGGCGGCGCAGTATCTCTGATGGCGGAGACTGCCGTGCTAGGGTGGCAGTGGTTGGTTAAGTGGGCCTCTGGGAATCCCCTGGAGGAGTGTGCAGGCTGATTACACCTGAGCACTGGGGAACATTCTGTTTCTCAGAACTCATACAATTTGTTTTTTCCCCACAGTGACAAAGGAAGTTGTCTCAATGGGAACAGGAACAAAATGCATAGGCCAGTCCAAAATGAGGAAGAGTGGTAAGCACAGGTGGGAGTAAGATTTAGCTTTGGAAACCAGTGTCCGTGTTTTACTCTCCTTGTCAGGGAAGGGGGCCCATATCAGTTGAGGTGCTTGGCATTGTTTCCTACTGACTGTCAGTCCAGTCGGAAAGACAGTGTGCTCACTTCAAGAATGGAAATCCACCATCAAAGGAGAGGCCTCTAGGAGCATGCTTTCTGAATAACTGAAAGCTAGCCAGTATTTTCATGCTCAAACCACAGATTCCTTAGGCTTAGCTATTCCGCATTAGGTATGGAAGGCTTTGAGGCCCTATAGCAGGTAGAGGATGCAGCTTGAGTGGCTGCTGAAGCCCCAGAAAGCAGTATTTTTTTTTTCTTTTCTTTGAGACAGCATCTTGTTCTGTCCCTCAGGCTGGAGTGCAGATGGCTCAATCTCAGCTCACTCCAACCTTTTCTTACCAGATTTAAGCAATTCTCCTGCCTCAGACTCCCAAGGAACTGGGATTACAGGCATCCACCATCATGCCTGGCTAATTTTTGTATTTTCGTAGAGATGGGGTTTCACCATGTTACCCATGCTGGTCTTGAACTCCTGACCTCAGGTAATTCCCTCTCCTCAGCCTCCCTAAATGCTGGGATTACAGGTGTGAGCCACCGGACTCGGCCAGCAATCTTGAATTACAGGAAACTTTGGGCCTCACCAAGAATATGAAAATTCCTTAGAGATCTGGAGTTTTTTGTTTGTTGGTTTTTTTTATGAGACAGGGTCTCACTGGAGTACAGTGGCACCATCATAGCTCCCTGCAGCCTTGAACTCCTGGGCTCAAGTGATCCTCTCGCTTCAGCCTCCTGAGTAGCTAGACTACAGGTGTGCACCACTATGCCCAGCTCATTTTTTTCATTTTTATTTTGTAGAGACTTAGTCTCACTATGTTGCCCAGGCTGGTCTCAAACTCCTGACCTCAAGCTATCCTCCTGCCTTGGCCTCCCAAAGTGCTGGGATTACAGGCATGAGCCACTGCATGCCTGGCCAAGATCTGGGATCTTTAGCAGGTTTCTCTTTGGGTTGACTTCTACCATTCTCCTTGCCTTAACCTCCTGTATATGAGGAAACTTTTCCAGGACCACTATGGATTAGATTAGATGGAATTGTATCACCATGAGCACAAGTATGATATCTCTGTACAAAAGATCTGGACCCCTGTTCTCCAAATAAGGTTTTTCTATAAATTAGTGATTCTCAGCTGGGGGTGATTTGTACCCCAGAGGATATTTGGCAATGTCTGGAGACATTTTTAGTTGTCACAAATCGGGGAGGGGTGCCAGTGGTATCTCATGGGTAGAGGTCAGGAATACACTAATAAACAGTCTACAATGTATGGGTTAGACCCCCCACAGCAAAGAATTTTCTGGCCCAAAATGTCTACAGTGCTGGGTTGAGAAACCCTGCAGTAAATGCATTGTTATTCATGATTGTGGTACCTTCTAGCAAAACTTTCCAGGTGCTACATGACCATCCTGGGTGCTGGTAGGACTCCTGTGTTCTGCTTCTAGGAACCAGAGCCTCTACAGCTTCCATATGTCTTCACTTGTTGTCCTATCTTTGCCACAGGAGACATCCTCAATGATAGCCATGCTGAGGTCATAGCCAGAAGGAGTTTCCAAAGGTAAAGCCACATCCCCAGAGAGTATGGTTCAGGGCTGGGATGGGAGTTCCAGAATTTATATTTCTAATAAGCTTCCAAATAGAGATTATATCAGTCTGTAAACTATACTTTGAGTAGGAATGTGGTCTAGGCTAGTGGTTCTCTTTTTTTTCTTGAGACAGGGTCTTGCTCTGTCATCTAGGCTAGAGTGCAGTGATGTGATCTCAGCTCATTGCAGCCTTGGCTTCCTAGGGCTCAAGGAAGCCTCCCACCTCAGCCTCCTGAGTAGCTGGGGTTACAGGTGCACACCACCATACCCGGCTAACTTTTTCTGTTTTTTATTTTAGTGACAGGGTCTCACTATGCTACCCACACTGGTCTCGAATTCCTGGGCTCAAGCGATCCTCCTGCCTCGGCCTCCTCAATTACAGGCACGAGCCACGTGCCTGGCCTGGACTAGTGGTTCTCAAACTTGATATGCATCAGAAGAACCTGGGGGGGCTTGTTAAAACCCAGATTGCTGAGCCCACCACAGAGATTCTGATTCAGCACATCTAGGGTTGAACCTGAGAAACTGGGTTTCTTCTTTTGTGTTTTTTTTTTTTTCTAACAAAAAAATAGGATCTCACTCTGTCACCCAAGCTGAAGTACAGTGGCACAATCATAGCTCACTGCAGTCTCAAACTCCTGGGTTCAAGCAGTCCTCCTGCCTCAGTCTCCCAAATAGCTAGGGTTACAGATAGGAGCCACTGAGTCCAGTTTGAATTGGAGGTCTAACAAATTCCCAGGTAATGCTGTTGCTGCTGGTGCAGGGACCACACTTCGAGAATCACTGGTCTAGAGCATTCTCATAATTCCTAATCCCTACCAGTCCCATTAGTCTACAGTAACCAGTAATGCTGTCTTAGTAATCACCCAACCGGAGGCTTTCTCTTTACCACAGAGATTGCTTGTTCATCCTAATTACATCTTGCAACTCTTAGGTATCTTCTCCATCAACTCCAGTTGGCAGCCACCCTGAAAGAGGATAGTATCTTTGTCCCAGGAACTCAAAAAGGACTGTGGAAACTCAGACCAGACCTCATTTTTGTGTTTTTCTCCAGCCATACACCCTGTAAGTATATTCAAGCCTTTGGATTAATGTTACATGGACTACTTCCTTATGTTTGTGTTATCCATAGATAGGTTTTTCCTAAAAATCACTAACTACTGAAGTAGCCACAAGTAGTGACAGTGCCTTTTTATGACAGGCCAGTGTACCCAATCACTTCTAAAGGTTTCATCTAAAGAGAAGGCAGAGGCAAGGAGTGTAGAGTCCCACTCATAGTCAATTCTCAGAATCAGGATTAGGAGCATAAGGCTGAAACCCCACAAATGTGAAGCCAACACGGGCCTCAGAAGTCCTATGGTAATTTATCCTGAAACTCATTTAATTTATTCAGTCATCAGATACTTTCTACTATTTGTCAGGCATGATATGACATACTGAGTATACAGAAGTGAGTAAGACTAACGCATTGCTTACCTTCGTAGAGTCTTTTAGGGACTGTTGACAGTCATGGTTAAGGTAAATTTTGATGGGTTATAAGGGTATATTCAGTTACTGTGGTTGCATAAGATAGGAAGACCTAGTGGGGGGTGGGGTGGGGGGGTGGAGTCATTTATATCTTTTGTTTTTCTTTTTTTAAAGTTGAAAATAACTTCTACTGGCCGGGCATGGTGGCTCACACCTGTAATACTAGCATTTTGGGAGGCCAACACAGGTGGATCACCTGAGGTCGGGAGTTGAAGACCATCCTGACCAACATGGAGAAACCCTGTCTCTACTAAAAATACAAAATTAGCCTAATTTCACTCCATAAGTCAGTGGTCTACAAATGGGTGCTGATCCATGAGAACAGTCCCTGAATAAACCAAGAAAGTTCAAGATTGTGTAGTGAATTTTGCAAAACTAATTTCTTTCACTTTAAAGGATATGGGAGTTTTCTTTTTTTAAGAGAAAAATTTAAGAAAAAAATTTTTTTTTTCTTCTCGATCTTCACTGCAACCTCCACTTCCCGGGTTCTGGCTATTCTCCAGCTTTGGCCTCCCAAGTACCTGGGGTTATACGCGCACATCACCACGCCCAGCTAATTTTTTTTTTAATTTTAGTAGAGACAGGGTTTCACCATGTTGGCCAGGCTGGTCTTGAACTCCTGACCTCAAGTGATCCACCTGCCTCAGCCTCCCAAAGTGCTGGGATTACAGTATGAGCCACTGTGCCCAGCTGGTAATTGTGATTTTGAAAGGTCTTACTTAATGGAATAAGAAGTTGGCAACGCTCTGTTCATCTTAAAATCTTCTGGAAATTTTGCTGGTAATCTTTTAAGATGTGATGTCTCCCGTGGTTTGTCTGCAGAGAGAAAGAACATTACCTAGAGAATGTGACTTTCTGGCTCCCTTGGCATTTGCTTCCTATTGCTAATTAATAATTTGCTGGCGGGGTTAGCTACTTCATGATCTTACCTTACGAGTTTTATTAGTATGAGTCAGGCTCTCGTGTTCAGGCATTCCGTCATGATCAAATCTCCAAGCCTGCAAGAGATGGACCCTGGTGAGTTCTCCAAAGTCACTGTGCCTTTGTGAGGTCTCTGGAAGTCAGCCAGCCAACCTCTCCAGATATATTTCCACTTCTGTATCTCTTGCCTTTCCCACTCTTGGGTTAGATTGCAAATGTATTATTTATACACTTTAGAAAAGCAACACTCATTAGGTTAGTGTTTGAAGCAATCTTTCCTTTCTCAAGGGAGAGCTGTGCTTCTTACTGACCTCTAGTTTTCTTTGGTTTCCTATAAGGACAGAGGAGCTCAGAAATCTCTAAACCAGCAGGAGGAAACACTGGAAATTTTGGAAACATTGGTTTAAACTAGGTGTATAATTTACTTTAGAGTCTTTACTGTGGGACCATGCATCATAAAATCTCCAAAAAGGGGAAATTTTGAGCAGTGTTTGCCAAATTTCAACTATGAAATAAACCACCCACTTTTGTTTTCCAAAGCATCTTATGGAATAGCATTCCACAAAATGCACTTGTGAAACCTTGTTCATTCTAAGCCAGTGGTTCTCAACTTGGGAAGTTTCACTCCCCAAGAGACTTTTGGATACATCTGGAGACATTCTTCTTCTTCATTATTATGATTATGATTATTATTATTTGAGATAGAGTTTTGCTCTTGTTGCCAAGCTGGAATGCAATGGTGCAATCTCGGCTCACTGCAACCTCCCCCTCCCAGGTTCAAGTGATTTTCCTGCCTCAACCTCCCAAGTAGTTGGGATTACAGGTGTGCACCACCACACCTGGCTACTTTTTTTTTGCATTTTTAGTAGAAATTGGGTTTCATCATGTAGCCAGGCTTGTCGTGAACTTCTGACCTCAGGTGATCCACCCACCTCAGCCTCATAAAGTGCTGGGATTACAGGTGTGAGCCACCACGCCTGGCCACATTCTTCATTTTCATACTGGGACTGGTAGTGCTATTGGCATCTAGTGGGTAGAGACCAGGTATGCTGCTAAATATTCTATAATTTACAGGACAGTCCCCACAGAAAGAGTGATACAGTTCAGAGTGTCATTAGTGGCCAGGCCTGGTGGCTCACACCTGTAATCCCAGCACTTTGGGTTGTTAAGGCAAGCCAATCTCTGGAGCTCAGGAGTTCAAGACCAGGCTGGCCAACATTGTGAAACCTCGTCTCTACTAAGAATACAAATTTAGCCAGGTGTGGTGATGTGCACCTGTAATCTCAGCTACTTGTGAGGCTGAGGCAGGAGAATCTCTTGAACCCAGGAGGCAGAGGTTATAGAGAGCCAAGTTCGCACCACTGTACTCCAGCCTGGGTGACAGAGCCAGACTCCGTCTAACAAAAAAAATGTGGGCCGGGCTCTGTGCCTCATGCCTGTAATCCTAGCACTTTGGGAGGCCGAGGCAGGTGGATCATGAAGTCAGGAGTTTAAGACTGGCCAAGATGGTGAAACCCCATCTCTACTAAAACTACCAAAATTAGCCAGGCATGGTGGCAGGCACCTGTAATCCTAGCTACTGGGGAGGCTGAAGCAGGAGAATTACTTGAACCCAGGTGGCAGAGGTTGCAGTGAACCGAGATCATGGCACTGCACTCCAGCCTGAGAGATAGAGTAAGACTCAGTCTCAAAAAAAAAAAAAAAAAAATTGTCATCAGTACAGTGGTTAAGAAACCCTGGTCTAAACCACTGTTTCCAAAACTTCCTAGTGATAAAAATTACCTCAGATCTTTGTTAAAATATTCCATTTTTCATACTCCTCTTCTCCATAAATTCCAGCTCACTGAGTCTAGGATAGGCCTCAACAAAAGTTGCATAGAATTCTAATTAGGGAAATTTGTGCATATGCTCTTAATGATCTCAGGTCAGCTAGGAGAATACATTAAGGCAGTTGTTCTCAAACTTGACCTTGCATCAGAATCACCTGGAGAGCTTGTTAAACACACACTGCTGGGGCTGCAGTGGCTCAGTCCAGTTGTTCTGGCACTCAAAGAGACAAGGCTACATGTTCGAGGCCAGCCTGGGAAACATAAAAACGTCTCATCCGTTAGCAACAACAACAAAAAAATTCTATCCTGGCCAACATGGTGAAATGCTGTTTTTATTAAAAATACAAAAATTAGCTGGGCGTGGTGGCATGTGCCTGTAGTCTCAGATACTTGGGAGGCTGAGACAGGAGAATTGCTTGTACCTGGGAGGAGGAGGTTGCAGTGAGCTGAGATCACTCCACTGCACTTCAGCCAGGGAGGCAGGGTGAGACTCCATCTCAAAAAATAAATAAATAAAAATTAAAAAAAACACTGCTGGGCCCTGCCTCCACAGTTTCTGATTGAGCAATTCTGCTGTGGGTTCCAAGAGTTTGCATTTCTGATGAATTTTCAAGAGATCCCACTGTGGTTGCCAGGGACCTCACTTTGAGAACCATTTGTTTAAGGTGGTGGTTTATTCTCTGCAGGTGGGGATGCCTCCATCATTCCGATGCTTGAGTTTGAAGATCAGCCTTGCTGTCCTGTCATCAGAGATTGGGCCAACAACCCATCAGTAGAAGCTAATAGTAACCTGGAAGCTCCTGGATATGAAAGAATATGTGAAGACCTTGGCAGTCCTGTAACCAAAAAGGCGAAGCTTAAGCCTGGTACTACTGCCAAAAAGGTCACGAACGGAGCAGCTCACCCTCACAGTCTTGGTAAGCAGGAAGGTGACCCAATCTCACCAGGCATCAACAGCTGTAATCTCACTGTAGAAGAACTGGCTGCTGTCACCAGAATAGCCCCTGGTAGTGCCAAAGTGATAGACATTTATAGAACTGGAGCCAAATGTGTACCTGGAGAAGCTGGAGACTCCGGGAAGCCTGGTGCTGCGTTTCATCAGGTGGGGCTGCTCCGAGTGAAGCCTGGCCGTGGAGACAGAACTTGCTCCATGTCCTGCAGTGACAAGATGGCCCGATGGAATGTTCTTGGATGCCAGGGGGCACTGTTGATGCACTTCCTGGAAGAGCCCATCTACCTATCAGCAGTGGTCATTGGGAAGTGCCCATACAGCCAGGAAGCCATGCAGAGAGCACTGATTGGAAGGTGAGAAGGTAGGGAGGGCTCGATTGGAACAGTCATTCCAAGGGGCAGTCTGAAAGTAGGGCCTAAGAGCATTAAGAACCTCCTTACCTTTTGACCCAGCAGTTCCTCTTCAAGGAATTTATCTTAAGGAAATAACTAAAGTATTCGAACATTTAGCTTTGTATATAATAATTTTTTAAAAAATAAAAAATAAACAACTGAAATGCCCAGTAATAGGAAATTCAGTGATTTTTTTGTTATTGTTAAAAATAATATTGATGAATGGCTGGGCATGGTGGCTCACACCTATAATCCCAGCACTTTGGGAGGTCGAGGCAGGCAGATTGCTTGAGCCCAGAAGTTCTACACCAGCCTAAGTAACATGGGGAAGCCCCGTCTCTACAAAAAATAGAAAAACTAGCCAAGTGTGGTGGCATGAACCTGTAGTCCTAGCTAATAGGGAGGCTGAGATGGGAGGATCACCTGAGCCTGGGAAGACTGAAGCTGTGGTGAGCCAAGATCGCTCCACTGCACTCCAGCCTGGGTGACAGACCCTGTCTCAAATAAAATGATAATATTCATGTATTTAATGTGGACATACGTTCATAGTGTTTAAAGAACAGTTTAGAAGGCTGGGCGCAGTGGCTCAAGCCTGTAATCCCAGCACTTTGGGAAGCCAACGCTGGTGGATCATGAGGTCAAGAGATCGAGACCATCCTGGTCAACATGGTGAAACCCCGTCTCTACTAAAAATACAAAAAAAATTAGCTGGGCATGGTGGCGCATGCCTGTAATCCCAGCTACTCAGGAGGCTGAGGCAGGAGAATTGCCTGAACCCAGGAGGTGGAGGTTGCAGTGAGCCAAGATCACGCCATTGCACTCCAGCCTGCGTAACACGAGCGAAACTCCATCTCAAAAAAAAAAACAGTTTAGAAGACAAAAAGCCAACTTTGGTCTTAAAGTACATATGCACATGGGAAAGATTGTAAGAGGATGAGCACCAAGGTATTATTAATAATCTGAGTTGTAGTATTATGGGTGGTTTTTTTTCTTTGTTTTTACTATATTTTTAATTTTCTACAGTGTCCATACATTGCCATTATATATATATATTTTTAACCCTAAACATTAGTTTGGGGTTTTCAGAATTTTTTTGTAGAGACAAGGTTTCACTGGGTCTCACCTAGGCTGAAGTACAGTGGTACAATCATAGTTCACTACAGCCTCCAGTTCCTGGGATCAAGTGATCCTGCTGCCTCAACCTCCGGAATAGCTAATATTACAGGCACAAGTCACCACACTTGGCTGATTTTTAATTTTTTTTTTTGGTAGAGACAGGTGTTGTTGGGTTATTCAGGCTGGTCTTGGACTCCTGGACTTCAGCAATTCTCCTACCTTGACCTGCCAAAGTGTTGGGATTATAGGTGTAAGCCACCTCACCCAGCCCTAAACATTAGTTTTAATTTGCCCAAAGTTAAAAGACAAAGGATCGTCACTGAAGTATGGTCTCCCTAAAGAAGGCAGCCAAACTCAGTTCATGCTATAGTAAGTGAGGGCAGGGCAAAGCCATGGCCAGGGAAAGCATTGTGGGCCCATATCAGATGTGTAGCCTCAAGATACGACCCAGCAATTCCACTCCTAGGTAAACCCAAGAGTAATGAAAACATACATTCACACAAGTAGGCCAGGTACAGTAGCTCACACCTATAATCCTAGCATCTTGGGAGGCTAAGTCAGGCAGAATGCTTGAGTCCAGAAATTCAAGACCAGCCTAAGCAACATGAGGAAACCCTGTGTCTACAAAAAATACAAAACTTAGCCAGGCATGGTGGCACACACTTGTAGTCCCAGCTGCATGGGGAGCTGATGTGGGAGGATCACCAGAGCCAAAGAGGGTTGAGGCTGCAGTGAATTGTGATTGCACCACTTTACTCCATCCTAGGCAGTAGAGTGAGGCCCCGTCTCAAAAAAAAAATTGTGTATATAACAAAAACCTGTATATAAATGTTCACAGCAGCATTATTTGTAATAGTCAAAAAGTGAGACAAATGCATCAGTGAATGAATGGATAAATCAAATGTGATATATCCATACAATGGAATATAATTCAGCCATAAAAAGAGCTGAAGTACTGATAAATGCTGCATCGTGGATGAACTTGAAAATATCATGCCAAGTGAGAGAAATCGCATATTGTATAGTTTTATTTCTGTGAAATATCTAGAACAGGCAAATCCATAAAGGCAGATAATAGCTTAGTGATTACCAGGGGCTAAATGCTGTGCCTTACACCTGTAATGCCAGGACTATGGGATGCTGTAGTGGAAGGATTGCTTCAGCCCAGGAGTTCAAGACAAGCCTGGGCAATATGGCAACCCCATCTCTACAAAAAAAATTAAAAATTAGGCCAGGTACGGTGGCTCATGTTTGTAATCCCAGCACTTTAGGAGGCTGTGAGGTGGGTGGATCACAAGGTCAGGAGTTCAAGACTAGCCTGGCCAACACAGTGAAACCCCATCTCTACTAAAAATACAAAAATTAGCCAGGCGTGGTGGTGGGCACCTATAATCCCAGTTCCTTGGGAAGCTAAGGCAGTTGAATCACTTGAACCCGAGAGGCAGAGGTTGCAGTGAGCTGAGATCATGCCATTGTATTCCAACCTGGGCGACAGAACTAGAGTCTGTCTCAAAAAAAAAAATTAAAAAATTAGTCTCAGCTACTTGGGAGGCAGAGGTGGGAGGATCACTTGAGACCTGGGGGAAGAGGTTGCAGTGAGCCGAGATCATGCAACTGCTCTCCAGTCTGAGCAACAGGGACCCTATTTCAAAAAGAAAAAAAAAAATTTTCGGTGATAACCAGGGAATAGAGAGTGAATGCCAGTAGGTACAAGGTTTCTTTTGGAGTGATAAAAATTCCTGAAATTACATTACCATGATAGTTGTGCAGTTCTATGAATATATTAAAAACAATTGAATTATCAACTTTAAAGGGTAAAATTTATGGTATGTGAACTATATCCCTATAAAGATGGTTTTTTAAAAAAGAAAGAGTCAACACTAGGCACTGTACCCAGGATGTTTTCTGTTTTTCCTGTTCTGGTACTTGCAGTTGCTATCTGCTTCATTCTAGACCAGCATCATGTTGGCATCTAGTTTGTTCAAAACACAAGAGAAAAAATGAAGCTTTTATATTATAGGATAATTGTGGGTTTTGGTGTGTTTGAAAGATTCCCCAGGAAGCAGGTGCTAACACTTTAATGTTTCTGCTTAAACTTTTCAAGTTTCTCAAAGCCTGTATCAGGAATGGAGTTTGGTGTTACATTCCAGAAGGGTGTTGACTTGATTCTCAGTTATCCCTTCAGAGTGAGAGAGAAGGATCTTCTTCCAGCCATGAGGTTCTTACAATCTTGATTATATTCGGGAACACTGACTTGTCCCCTGCCCCAATAAATAAACAAATCTCTACACCTGGTAAGGCTCAGGGGTGATGATGTGAGCCACAATCCTAGATACTGTTTTCTCTAGGCATGCACCTAAACTGAATGCATTTTCCCTTACATTTAGGTGTCAGAATTTATCGGCTTTACCAAGAGGTTTTGGAGTTCAAGAACTAAAAATACTGCAGTCAGATTTACTATTTGAACAGAGCCGCTGTGCAGTGCAGGCAAAAAGGGCTGACAGCCCAGGTCGACTTGTTCCTTGTGGAGCAGGTAAGAGACCCAGGTTAGACCTGTCCTGGCGTAACTGCTCCCCTAACTGAGAGTGGCCTTGGAGGGTCTGCATCCTCCCAGGCTAGGAAGGCAGTTCACTGCTCTAGAGGACAGTAGTATGGGCTTTGGAAACACCTATACTGGATCAGGTTTATGCTCTTGTGACCCCTGGCAAGTTACTTACTCTCCCTTGGCCTATTTTCTTAGTCTTCAGATTAGAAGAATATTATTTATCGGGGTTATTAGGTTCAATGAGAAATTCTTTTTAATGCATTTACTCTGTCTCCAGCAGCAAATAATAAATGCTCAGTGATTGTTAGCTCTCATACTAATAATGAATTATGAACCACTTAGACTACAGTGTCCTGGCGGCCAAGCATCCAAGTCATTGTCTCTGACATCATATTGAGTTCTCGTGGGTCTGTAGGATCAGAGAAATATTTTTATTAAAATACTTCTGACATTTACAGGAAATTGGACAGTTTTAACCCTAGAATCTTATCTTTTCATAGCCATCAGCTGGAGTGCAGTTCCTGAGCAGCCATTGGATGTTACTGCCGGTGGCTTTCCACAGGGAACAACAAAGAAAATAATCGGAAGCCTTCAGGCAAGGTACAGCATATTGGGGCAGGAGGAGATGGTAGCTGTGAACTCAGGCTTTACCGCTCTCTAACTCTAGAACATTCTTATTACCCCAAAAAGAACAACCATACCCATTAGCAGTCACTACCTGTCCCGCCCTCTCCTCAACCCCTGGAAACCTCTGATTTACTTAATTTACTTCTTATCTCCATGGATTTGCTATTCTGGACATTTTGTATCATTGGAATCATACAGTATATGACCTTTTGTATCTGGCTTCTTTGACTTAGCATAGTGTTTTGGAGGTGCATCCATGAGGTAGCCAGTATCAGTGTTTCATTACTGTTTATGGCTTGAATAATATTCCATTGTGTGGATATGCCACATTTTGTTTGTTCATTCATTCATGGATGGACGTTTGGGTTGTTTCAATCTTTGGCTATCATGAATAGTGCTGCTATGCAGAACTATGAATATTTCATGTACTACTTTTTGCGTGGCCATATATATATTCTTGGGTATATTTAAGAATGGTATTACTGGTTCATATGATAATTGTTTTCCATAGTAGCTGTATCATTTTGCGTTTTACTAGCAATGTATGAGAGTTCCAATTACCCTGCATCCTTCACAACACTTGTTACTGTCTTTTTTATTGTAGTCATTTTAGGGGGTTTGAATTGGTATCTCATTACAGTCTTTTTTTGAGACCGAGTTTCGCTCTTGTTACCCAGGCTGAAGTACAATGGTGTGATCTCGGCTCACCACAATCTTCGCCTCTTGGGTTCAAGCATTTCTCCTGCCTCAGCCTCCCGAGCAGCTGAGACGACAGGTGCGTGCCACCATGCCTAGCTAATTTTTGTATTTATAGTACAGACGGGGTTTCACCATGTTGACTAGGATGGTCTCAATCTCTTGACCTTGTGATCCACCCGTCTCGGCCTCCCAAAATGCTGGGATTATAGGTGTGAGCCACCATGCCCGGCCAGTCTTTTTTTTTTTTTTTTTTTTTTTTTTTTGAGATGGAGTGTTGGCCAGGCTTATCTCAAACTCCTGGCCTCAAGTGATCCACCTGCCTCAGCCTTTCAAAATGCTGGGATTACAGGCATGAGTCACCTCACCTGGCCTTATAGTCTTGATTTGCATTTCCCTAATTATAAACGATGTTGAGCATCTTTTTATGTACTTAATATCCGTCTGTCTCTCTACTTTGGGGAAATAACTATTTGGATCCCTTGCCCATTTTGTTATTTGGTGTATTTGCCTTTTTATTGTGGAGTTGCCAGATTCCTTTATGTATTCTGGATATTCTTCTTTTATCATTATATGATTTGCAGATATTTTTTTCTGGTTCTCTTGGTTATATTTTCACTTTTTGATAATGTCCTTTAAAGCACAAAAGTTTTCAATTTTGATAAAGTCAAATTAATGTATTTTCTTTGGTTCATTGTGCTTTCGGTGGCATACCTAAGAAACCATTGTCTAATCCAAGGTCATATAGTTACTCCATATTTTCTTCTAACAGTTTTTTAGTTTTAGCTCTTATGTTTAGGACTTTGATCCATTTTGAGTTAAATTTTCTTTGTGTTATGAGGAAGGACTCCACCTTCATTCTTTTGCATGTAGATATTCAGTTGTCCCAGCACCATGTTTTGGAAAGACTATTGTTACCCCTGCAGAGATTGTTTATAAATAATACCTAATACTTTCTTGGGCTTCATCCCTAGAAATTCTGGATTAGTAGGTCAGGGTTGGAACCCAAGAATCATTTGTGAAGCTCCACAGTGACTAGACTGGCAAAAAGGGTCCCTGAAAACAGGACTTTGCCTCCTTAGATTGGCTTTTGCCAAAGTGCAGGGTTTGTGGGCTGCTGGATATGAGACTCACATTTTATCCCTGGAGGATCATGCACTCTATGTATGTGTCTCTTTTTTTTGTTGTTTTTATTTTTTTATTTTTTATTTTTTGGAGACGGGATCTAACTGTATTGCCCAGGCTGGTCTCGAACTCCTGAGCTCAAGCAATTCTCCTGCCTCAACCTCCCAAAGTGCTGGGATTACTGCTGTGAGCCACTGTGCCTGGCCTGTGTCTCTTTCTATATGCTTGGCCAATCTTGTCCTCCCTGTCTTCTCCCTATCCCCTGCAATGAGCTAGAGGTGGTTTGGAATAGCTTAAGGATAGGAAGGGCCTCGGGGGAGTGGCCTCTCCATCAAAGGCATTTCCTCTGGATTCAGCTGCCACCAGTGTGACTGGTGTAGAATGTAGAATTCCCACAATTCATAGATTTTTTTTCTTTTTTACTCTAAGTTGCTTTTCCATTTACTTATCATGCCCTCATAAAAGTTGTATTTGTAATTATTTTCCCAAATTCACTTGGTGTATTAGTCCCTTTTCACACTGCTGCAGAGAACTACCTGAGCCTGTGTAATTTATAAAGAAAAGAGGTTTAATTGACACACAGGCTGTACAGGAGGTATGGCTGGGGAGGCCTCAGGAAGCATAATCATGGTGGAAAGGCAAATGGGAAGCAGGCACATCTTCACATGGCAGCAGGAGAGAGAGAAAGCATAAAGGGAAGTGCTACACATGTTGAAACAACCAGATTTCGTGAAAACTCATTCACTATCATATGAGAACAGCAAGGGGGAAATCTGCCCCCATGATCCCATCACCTTCCACTAGGTATCTCCCCCAACAATGGGAATTATAATTCGACCTGAGATTTGGATGGGGACACAGAGCCAAACCATATCACTTGGTTTGGTTTGTGGGTTTTTGTTTTTTGTTTGATTTTTTTTTTTGACATGCTTATTTGCCTGCCTCAAAACAAATAACCATGACAAGACCTCACTTACATACATCCTTTTTAGGCTTTTTTTAAAAAGGTTTTCTTCTTCACAACTACTACCTACCAGGGTTCAAATGGCCTAGACAGAAGATGCTCCCAGTCTCCTGGCAGCCTAGATGGTTGCATTGAATAATATTTATAAAACTGTTGGGAGTAGAGACTTTTGGATGAGTTTTTTTGCCAAGGGGCTTCCTGGTTTGCCATCTTTTGCACTTCTCAGGAGACCAACTCTAAGCCACAGATGAGGTTGTGTGAACAGAGCAGCTGAGGGACAGAGACCACATGTTTCCTGCTGAGCTCTGTCTCTGTTGTCAGTTACAGCCTTGCAACTTCTCACATGGGCCCCACCCACTGACTGTGGTTTCCATCTGCTGCTTTGCTGAGAAATGAGATGCTCTTCTTTGCTGAGTGTATACCTGCTTTTGCCTGAAAAGCCCAGCTCAACGACCACTGCTTTCTGGCTCAAAATTATCACCTCTTCTCTGAATTTCTGTAGTGGTTTTGTTGAGCTTGTCCCAATGTTTCACCAGGAAGAACCTAATATCTAAGAATGTAATTCTCTCTGCCAAAAGGAACCATGACTCTGTTAGGTCACATCCCTCTGCCGTATCTTTCAAGAGTGTCTTGGCTGTTCTTGGACTTTTAAAGATCAATTTGAAGATAATTGGTGACAATGATTTGGAACTGTGAGCCACCCAAATCCCATTTCCAATTGTAATCCCCAGTGTTGGAGGAGGGGTATCTTGGGAGGTAATTAGATCATGGGGGCGGAGTTCTCATGAATGGTTCAGCACCATCCCCACTTGGTACTGTATAGTGAGTGAGTTCACACAAGATCTGGTTGTTTAAAAGTTTGTAGCATCTCCCCACTCACCCTCTTCCTCCTGCTCTGGCCACATAAGACATGCTTGCTTCTCCTTCACCTTCCACCATGATTGTAAGTTTCCTGAGGCCTCCCCAGAAGCCAGTATGCTTCCTGTACAGGCTACAGAACTGTGAGCCCATTAAACTCCTTTTTTTAAAAAAATAGTCTCAAGTATTAAATATTTCTTTATAGCAGTGTGAGAACATACTAATACTAATACAATTGGCATCTTTCAATATTCTCTTCCAAACCAGGAATATGGTATATCTCTCTATAATACTGGTACCAAATTGGCAATTATGCCCCAGACTTATAACTGGTAGTTTTGAGTGTTTACTTATTGAGGTCTTCTTACATATATTTCAATAAGTTTTATAGCTTTCTTTATATAAATCACATTTTTTTTTTTTCTTTCAACTCAAACTTTATTTGATTGCTCTATATTCTACTAAGGAGTGAATGATACAAAGCACATACTCATTTGTGATTATGAACAAACAGCAAAAAAATCAATGGCAAACAAAAATGGAAAGTTGCTTCATGTTTTGAATGAGGCAGACTTTTAATTTAATGATGATTGAAACATAAATGGTAATTAAAACATAGAGGAGAATATTATGAGGACAAGCCTGTTTTTGGAGAGGAGCTTGGTTTCTTCTTGTTCTAAAACTTGTGTAATTTCCACAAAATATATTTCAACTCATTAATTGAATGAGACAGATATTTATTGAACATCTACTTTGTTAAGAATATAGACTCTGTATTTAAAAATGGACACTGCCCTGAAGAGGGCATGAGAGAAGACAAACATAATATATAATTACATCCAAGGCAGTTCATATTAAATGCTCTTCTACCCTTTCTTACAGTTCTTTAGCAAGACATGACAATTTGTTCACTAAAACTTGTCTTGAATCTGTCTTCCTCTTAAGAGAAGTTTGATTTTCAATTTCAGAAATAGCCGAATTTGTGCTTTAAAGATTGGAATAAGTTTTTCCTCCAATAAATCACATTTTAAATTAGCTTTATTCCTTGAATGTATATTAGTTATCTGTTTCTGTATAACAAATTACCACCAAAATAACAGCTTAAAACAACAACAAACGTTTTTTATTTCACACAGTTTATGTGGGTCTGGAATTTAGGAGGAGCTTAGCTAGGTAATTCTGGCCCATCAGTTTGTGAGGTTGCAGTCCATTATGGCAGCCAGGGCTACAGTCATCTGAAGACTTGACTGGGGCTGAAGGATCTAGTTCCAAAATTGTTCCCTCGAATGGCTGACAGGTCAGTGTCAGCTGTTGGCAGGAGGTTTCAGTT